CATGTCGCTGATGATGATGCAGCTGATGATCATTATGACCATACTTATGATGATGTTGATGCTGTTGTTCATGATGATGCTGATGATGAGGGTGATGCTGATGATGATGACCATGATGATGTTGGTACTGCCGTGTATTATCGTTGCCATGATGATCGTGATGATGGTGGTGATCATGATGCTGATGGTGATGATGATGATGATGATTGCGATGTTGATGGTGATGTTGTTTATGACGATGATGCTGATGATGAGGGTGACGCTGATGATGATGCTGCTGTGCATTATGGTTACGATGATGCGATGATGCTGATGACGATGATGCTGCTGCTGCTGATGCTGATGCTGATGATGATGAGGATGCTGATGATGATCATGATGATGATGCTGATGCTGATGATGATGATGATGATGATGATGATGACGATGCTGATGATGAGTATGATGATGCTGATGATGATGATAATGATGAATGTGAGTATGATGATGATGACGATGATGATGATGATGATGGTGGTGCTGATGATGTTGATGATGATGCTGATGATGATGATGCTGATGATGCTGCTGCTGCTGCTGCTGCTGATGATGATGATGATGATGATGATGATGATGATGATGATGCTAAACAAGGAAAGGCCGAGGAGGAGAAGTAGGAAGGAGGAGGGGGAGGGTCTGGCAAACGAGGAAGCGCAGGCCGAGCAGGAGGAGGAGAATGAGACCGAGGATGAGGATGAGGAGGAGGAGGAGGAGGAGGAGGAAAAGGAGGAGGAGGAGGAGGTTGAGGAGGGGGTGAGGAGGAGGAGGCAGATGAGGACGAGGAGGAGGAGGAGGAAGAAGAAGAAGCGGAGGAGGAGGAGGAGGAGGAGGAGGAAGGAGGAGGCCGAGGAGGAGGAGGAGGAAGGAGGAGGAGACCGAGGAGGAGGAGGGGGAGGAGGAGGGACGTCTGTCCGTCCGCGCGAAACTTGGCTCGGAGCGGGCGCCCACCCCTTGCGAGCAACCGCCGCTCGGTCCAGGAACGGCGGTCGCTCCCTGGGGGAGGGATTGCGCCAGCCGGGGCCTTCAACAGCGCTACCTGGGAGCGCCAGGTCGAGAAGGAGGAGGAGAACCCCCAATTCTTCGCGTCGTGAGTCACGACAGAAGGTGCTGAACAATTTCCAGCCTGTGTGGACCCTTACCAGGCCCTGGTACCGTTGAAGACGACTCTGAATGAAAAGCCAGGGGAAAGGGTCCCGAACTCGGGGGGTCCACGTTCTGAGCAAATCACGACAGCGAAGTTCTGGGAAGAGGGTTGGAGAGGCCCGACAGGGGCTCGTCGGTTCCCCCTAAGAGGGAAAAAGACGCGACGCCTCGACCAGCGCGTCTCGAATGCAGACGGCGGGCGAGGCCATTTGCCGAAGACGACGGCACCGCTCGCGGACGGACCTTCTTGCCGCCTTGGAGGTCTCCTCCAGGGGTGCCAGTCCTTATGGGGAGCCTCCGGAGCCATGGCGGAGCCATGGGGGGAGGGGGCTGCACGTGGAGGGGGAGCTTTTTTGTTTCCCTCTCCTCCCTCCTGCCCCTCCTGCTCTGGCTCGCCTCCTGGCCGGAGCTCCGCCTCCTCCGCGTGTGCTGTCACAGCCAGTCGTCCCATGCTGTTGATCTTGGCATCGCTCGGACGTGTGCACTTTTCCCCGGCGAAGGCCATCGAGGAGCATCTTGGACCATCCTGCGAAAAAGTACGCGCACGTAGCCGAAAAATGCACCGGGAGTGAACGTTCGAACGATGGCGAGTGATGCCTCGGGAAAAGGTGCTTGATAGGTAAGCGTTCTCCTAAGCTCAGGTACCACGCTAGTTCTGCTGGGCGGCTTGTCGGTGCTATGGCCAGTTTCAGCTCCGTGATCTGGACAGTGTGCGCACCCTTCCGACTGAGACCAGGAAAGCCTACATTCATCGTCTAGAGGCAGACCCATGGTCTGAGTTGCTGAGAAAAGCTGAGCCGGTGGCCAGGGCTTATTCTATTCAGACTCGCTTCGCGACCTCTCTCACCCCACCGCAACTCCTGCCCCAGTTCGTACTTCTGCTGCTCCTCTTCATCCTCTCCCCTCTCCTTCACATATTTGCTCAACGTGGGTACTTCTCTCTTCCCTTCCCTGGCAATGTCCAGCGGTGCTCCCGCCTGCATGTTTTTTGTTGGTGCGGGCCTGTGGACCTGGATGGTTTTCAGGTTTTAACGGAGGCTCCTGAAGCTTTCCGAAGTTTATCCAATGGTTTTTGGTGGTCCCAGAAGCCCTCGGGGGTTTCGAGGGAAAGCGATGAGGAGGGACGGTGGATGCCGAAGGAAGAGGGAGGAACAAGTTGGGAGGGTGGAGGTTGGATGGAATCGGCGCTCACGTGACGGGTGTCAGCGTTAAAGGGGGTCAGCCAATACCCTCCGAGATCCTCTGGCTGACCCTGGTCTGGGATCTACCTGGAGCCGACCGACCCCGCTCCCTCACGCCCTGCTTCACGAACGAACAACCAACACCCATACCCATAGGGGGGTCGTTGGGAGGAGGGCTGGCTATGGGTATGGGTGCGGGTTGTCGGACCCTGGGGAACGCTCCCGTTCGAGCGGGGACCCCCATTCGACAACACGCACCCATAGCCCTCTCCGACCCCCCTTAAGGGTATGGGTGTGTGTTGTTGGCTCGTCACTGCTGACCCGCGTGTGTGGGTCACTTCGTGGCCAGCCTGGGCTCGTGGCGTGGCCTTGGTTGACCCGGGTCTGCGCTGACCCGGGCTAGTGCGTCCCCGATGGAAGAAGGGGGCAGGGGCAGCAAGAGGACAAAGGGCCATCGAGGGCATCGCCCGGGGCTGGCGGCGTTCCATCCACCTGGGCGCTTGTCCCTGCTCTTCGCCTCGCTACTCGACGAGCTGCTCCGGCAGTACAGGGTGCTTATTGATCGTCGTTCTCAGGATGGCATTCTGCAAATAGTCCACAGGCATCGCGTTCCTTCATTAATTGTCGCGCGTTGGAAATGGGTGGAACTACAAGCGAGAACCCGCTCAGAGGCCAGTGCAAAGAGAAACATCTAGAGGACGAGCAGGAGGAGGGATCTAATTCCCAGGAGCTACAGAAAGCTATAACCTCCGGAGATGCGGATAGGAGTGAGGGGCTTGTCCAACCAAACGTTCAATGGGAATCAAAAGCCCGCCGCAGGCGTTGTTCTGAACAACTCATTGAGAGTTCAAGCACAAGTCTGCCACAGGGCCCGAAACCGTGTCCGTTCATGTGAGCAGTCAGCGGAAATCACCAGCCCGCCGCAGGCGCAGATGTTGCGCCTCGTTCGAATGTCAGTGAAACGTGGAGGAAAGCCAGCCCGCCGCAGGCGCAGTTCTCTTGTATGCGCTTCTGCGCGACCCAGACCAGCGTTGCAGTTGCCGTGGGCCCCACCCGCGCCCGCTCTGGACGCCCCAACGACGCCGCGGGCCCCTCTCCCCGGCGAGGCCCCGCCGGCCCCTCCCCCCTCGAGGGCCTCCGCGACGCCACGCAGCCCCCCCCCCCCCCACGAGCCAGGCCGCGCCCCCGGCCGCAAGAGAGAGAGAGAGAGAGAGAATAGAAGCGCGACGACCTCTGCCTGTCTCGAGTCAGCCAATGTGTGTGCGACCTGACGTGTGTTCGCGAGAGCGGGCCCCCCCTGGCTGCAACAATCGTGGTAACCATCCTGTGCATCGAAGTAGGGCCATTCATGAATTTGCTGCCCGGCTGCCTGCGGCGAGTCCCGGCTTCGTGCCAGTCTAGCATTCTGGGTGGCGACTGTTCGAGGGTGCGCGGTTGGCCGTCACTTGTGACACCTCGTGTCTCCAATCTCGGGAGAACCGTGATGAGCATGATAAGGGTGATGACAAATGGGATAATGAGGAACAGGAGGAGGAAGAGGAAGGCCGTCACATGTATCACCCTGCGTTTTCAGCTCTTAAGGATCTCTCATGCAGCTCATTTGGGCCGTCCGCGGGCTGCCTTGGGATCCCGTGAGCCAGTCTTGGGGGTCCCTTGGTGCCCTCTCGGGCCGTTTTGAAGCATTCTCAGGCCGTCGTCTCTTGCCCATATGGGGAGTGTCGTGCAGCCGTCGTGGGGCCGTCTTGGCGCCATCAATGGTCTTCTAATGCCGTCTTGGGTCTATCCGGAGGCCCTCTTGAGCTGTCTTGGGGTCGTGTTGAAGGCCTCTTGGGCCATCATTGGGTCCTGTTGGTTCTGTCTGCCAGGGGTACGGTGGCGCATAACGAATGGAGCACGTCGTAAACCATTATCCTTCAATCGAGAATTATGGAATACCTGATAATTCCATGCTTATTTGAACTCTGCCAGTCCCCCTCAATGCTCTCGGATTCGGCCATCGTTGTCCGATATTTCCTTTTGTGGTGTCTGCCTTGTTGGGCTGCCACATCAAATTTAAGGTTCATAGTGTAACCCACAAGCTGTCAGTATTTGAGCGAGTGAGCGGAAAATTCCGCTATAATGATCGCAAGTCTATATTTGGCACGCTCGCTGTGTTGAACTTAACTTCTTAAGTTTGGAGTTGGTTATAGAAACTCAACGTAGTTGATACTATCACTTTTTGCCGAAACCAGAACCAAGCAACACCACTTCCGCGGAAGACGACAGCGGAAGGTTCCGCCCACGATGGGCGGCGGTCGCGATTGCCCCAAGGTGAGCGGCAAAGGCGAAGGAGAGGCAAAGGCCACTGCCCGTCCTTCTCGCACACCCTGATCCCCGCGCTGTAGCTGATGGTGTTTGGCTCTATCGTAGCCTCCCACTTCTCGCATTCGCAGTTCCCAGTAATGTTGCTAGAGTAGTTGGGCTCCAGCTTTGCCTCTTGCCCACTCTTCTCACGCCAGCTCCCTGCGCGACGCTGCCATTGCCCGACCTCCTCGCAGCCAATTGGCCCGTCCTGATCGTCCTGATCCCAGGGCTGTAGCTGATGACGTTGGACTCGTCCTTCGCCTTCCTTTCGCTTACGCTTACGGCGGCTGCTTGTCGCCTCCGCGTCGTAGCTGACGGCATCTGGAAGCTGCCACTGCCCGCCATTCTCGCACGCACAGTCTCCGCACTCCCGATGCTGCCACTGCCCGTCCTTCTCGCACGTCTCGTCTCCGTCCACTTGAGGCTGCCACTGCCCGTCGTTCTGCCACTGCCCGTCTTTCTGCCACTGCCCACCACGGCTTTTTAACTGCCTTCCCTTCCTCGCACGCTCTGACCATCTGATCTCGGCGCTGTAGCGGATGGCGTCGGGCTCTACCCTCGCCTGCCACTTCTCGCCTGCTGGAGGCTGCCACTGCCCGCTGAGCAGCCAGCCGAAGTCCAGCTCCGTCTGCTTGCACGTTGCCAAACGCAGGCGCCTCCACGCGCGCCGTTGGCTGCTGCTGGGGCGCCTCTCCCATCCAGGGGGCGCACACGAGCGATCGACCATCGGCGTCTCCTTCCTTCGCGCCCTCGGCGCTGGGGGCGTCCCCTGATCGCGGGCCCGGCCGCGCCCGCCGCGGGGCGAAACGGCTGCGCGGGGCCTCGCTGGGGAGCCACCGGATGCCAAAGGGGAGCAGGAGGGCAGGAGGAGGGAGACGATGGACGAGAGGGAATGAAGGGGGCCGTCCTCTCTCCTGCACTTCCTCATTTTCTCGTCCTCTCCCTCGTTCGACCCCCTTGTTTTGCCATGCCTCCCCCTATCCAGCTTCGTGTTTCGCCCCCTCCCTCCTACTCATCCGCCTGATCTGTTTCTCGTGATGTATCCTTCTCGTCCTCGTTCTCGGCCTCGTCGTCCTCACTTTCCCCTCGCAGTGCACGGCCTGCGGGAGACAGGCGAAACGGCAGCGCCGCCCGATTCTCGAACCTCCATCCTCCTTCCCCTACCCATCCTCCACAAAGTGTGGTGTTCTTGCTACGTACTCGATGCCTCCGCCTCCTCTCCTCCTCTTCCCTCTCCTCACCTTCCGCCCCCTGCCTCAACCTATACACAGACCCTGGCAAGGCCGATCCCGGGCCTGGATGGGCCTGGGCAGGATCGGTGAAGATGTATGGCCGGCATCCTCCCATCTCGTGCCTCCTGGTGCTTTCCTTCGTTTCTTCCCCCTGCTGATCTGCCCACATTTCTTGCCCTTGTGTTGTGCATCCCGTTTTCCCCTTGTAGCCGCCACTTGTCGCAATCGCTTTTGAGTCTTATGCGCATCATTATGAACGTGGTCATGGTCAGAGTTTACGAGCGACCCGCTATGTTACTTATGTCCCACCCGTGTCCTCCTACTCTTGATGCTGCTGCTCCTCATCCTCCTACTCCTCCTTCTCGTCCTCTGCGGCCTTTCCTTCCTCTTGCCCCCTCTCCCCCCCCCCTCGCGTCCCCCCCCTCTTCTGCCCCCCGACCCCGCTCCCGCCCTCCTTCTCCGCGTTCTTCGTCCCTCCCCCCGTCCTTGCATTCCTGCTCCAGGCCGCCGAGATGGGTAACTGGAGCAGATGGGGTCGCGGGATCACGTCGCATCTCCGATGCACCAGTGATCGCGGCGCTATTCTGGGCCCAGTTTTTATAGGGCCCGCCGCTGCCGATGCACCTCCGATGCGGTGCGATCCACCCTCTCACGGAGTCTGCTCCGATCCCGTTGGGGCGGCCTCCGCCTGCTCAGGAGTGGACGGCGGAGTTCGAGAATTACAAGAAGTACCCCGAGTACGAGCGCCTGCACTGCGGCTGCATGGAGCTGCATGAGTTCAAGCGAATTTACTTTATCGAGTGGTTCCATCGCATGTGGAGGGCAGGGGCAGGCTCGTCGCGACTCCTTCCTCCTTCTTCCTTCTGCGTCGTCCGTCCTCTCCTTCACTCCCTCCTCCCTTCCTCCCCCTTCTCCTCATTCCTTCTCCTCATCCTTCTTCTTCCTCCTCCTCCTTCTCCTCCTCCTCCTCCTTCTCCTCCTCCTCCTCCTTCTCCTCCTCCTCCCCCTCCTCTAGGCTGGTGCATGGCCTCCTCACCTTGGGGCTGTAGGGCTGGCAAGTGCTTTGGAACCTGTCCCGGGACAGAACGGCTTAGTTTTTTTCGGGGATTCAAGTTTGGGTTCATTCACCGCTTCGATGATCGTTCCATCCATTCATCACCTTTCCCCTTCGGATCCTCCCCTCATCCTCCAGTTGCTTCCTCTCTTCTCCTGTCGGCGTCGTGCTCCTGCCCTCCTCCGCCACGTCCTCGTCCTCGTCCGCCCCTTTCCTTCTGGCCCTCCTCGTGGTCGTCCGCCTTCTTCTCCTTCTCCCTCTCTTCTCCCTCATCCTCGTCTTCTCCCTCTTCTCAACCTCCGTCTTCCTCCCCCCCTCCCCCTCCTCCCCCTCCCCCTCCCCCTCCTCTTCCTCTCCTCCCTCCTTTTTCGCTCTCTCCCTCCTCCCCCTCCTCAACTCGCCTCTGCTTCCCCTTCTGCTCTCCCCTTTCCCCTACGCCCCCCTTTCTCCACTCTCCCCTGCCCTCCCTTCCCCCCTCCTTCCCACCTCTCATCCGCTCTCCCCCTCTCATCCGCTCTCTCGGGTCCGTCGCCGATCGCAGAGGTCCGCGTGGACCTCCAGAAGTTTTTGGCCACATGTCCTTCTTTCCCTTCTAGCACAAGGAGGAGGAGGAGGAGGAGGAGGAGGAGGAGGAGGAGGAGGAGGAGGAGGAGGAGGAGGAGGAGGAGGCGGAGAAAGAGAAGCTGATCTCAGGAAGCAAGATGGACGATGACTCGCAGGATGAGCAGGAGGAGGAAGAAGAGGGAGGGGAGGAGAGGAAGAGAAGGAGGAGGAGGAGGAGGAGGAGGAGGAGGAGGAGGAGGAGGAAGAGGCGGAGAGGGAGGAAGAATAAGAGGAGGAGGGGGGTGGAGGAAGTGGAGGAGGAGGAGGAGTAGGAGGAGGACCAGTGGGGCGAGGAGGGCCGGGGAGGGGGCCTGGGCAGGGGCCGGACAGTCGGCGTGCTCTTCGGCGTCCCGCTGCTGTACTTCTCCGCGCGAAGGGCCCGCAGGGGAGCCAGAGGCCTTGCAGCGTGTCGGGCGTGCGACCGCGGCCGCGGGTCAGTGCGAAGGTGGAGCATCACGCGTTTTTTATGGTCATCCGTTTCGAGCATCATGTGAAGCTCGGTATGAATTCCGCTGCTGGCAAGATAGTTGCGTACACAGTTTAGCATCGGCGGGAGAGACGGGTTTGCAGCAACGCTTCCCCACCGCAGCCATTTGCCTGAGAGGCCCCACGTGCTAGCAGCACACTGCGCACTGTACACCAGCGTTGAGTCTAGGAAAATATTCATTGTGCGAAGTCTTCTCCATGCGCCTTTGCCGGGGAAGGTGGGCCAGGGACGAAGCTCAACATGAAAAGTAGCTTTTGTCGAAGTTGCTGGCTGCGTGCGCTGGCGCGCACCATCGAGGGCACTCTGCCTGGCAGGCACGAGCGCGATCGCGCGCGCGCGAGGCGTTTGCGCCGCCATGCCGCCGTGTCGGCCAGCGGCGCCGGCTCCGCCCAGTTCGCCTATTGGTCTGTTTGCCAACATGCACGCGCGCGTGCCCGCATGTAAGGCTACAGCGCGCAGCGCGCCCCTGTGTACGCCCAGGTGCACGGTCGCGCACCGACAGACGCGTGCGTGCGCGTACACGACCGTACACATCATCTGCACAAGCGTTGTTCTTGTTGTCTCTTCAGCGGTGATACAGTCAAGACGCTGAAATAAGGAACAGTTCGGGTTCGGAAGGGGCTCGATGTTCCTTAGGTTCCTCCAGTGCTGTTCCTCTTGCCCTCCTGGGGCACGGGGGCGCTTACAGGGCCAAGAAGGGGCTTCGTTCCTTATTTAGCGTTCCTTCTTTCAGCAGCCCGACTGTAGGCACGGTCATACGCGGTAAGCACTACAGACCAACGTACATGATTGTGCCCTTCTTCAGGTGCCCGCAGCAAGGTCTACCACCGTGGCAGCGCAGCACCCAGTGTGGTGACTAACGGCAACAACATGTGTCAGCTCCCTTTCCTGTGCTCTAGAGGGCAGTGATCTGCGTTTCCGCTCTTCCTTGTGCCCGACAAGCCCGCAACGCATGGTAGTGACATCCTTGCGGGTCCACATGTCCACGACATGGGGCACCTCGTTCCACCACATCCCAGCAGTCCGTAACGTCTGATAATTCGCTTCCCCTGTTTCTGAGCAGGCGCAACATGTCCCAACTGTCTTCCAAAGGTCCTGCGGCCGTCTAGCGGGCATCTTGGGGTCGCCTTAGGCCGGACTTGGGCTGTCTAGGAGCTAATGTGAGGGGGATGCCGATGAGAGGGAAGCGAGGGGGGGGAAGATACGGAAGTGGAGAATAAGGGATGAGGCGGCGGAGGCGGAGGAGAAGGAGGACGACGACGAGCTGAGGAGGAGGAGGCGCCAAGGAATGAGGATGTCTCCCTTCCCTTGTCCTCCATCTTCTCCATGTCCTCCCTCTCCTCTCCATCTTCTCTCTCCTGCTGAATTTTCTCTTTCCTCTTCAATCCTTCCTCTCCTTCTTAATCTTTCCTCCTCCTCCTCCGCTCCCTGCTCCTCCTCGTTCATTGGGGGCAGCTGGGGCCCTATGGGGGTTTCAAGGGATGGGGCGCTCTTGTGCGGGGCTTGCTCGGGGCACGGCTCTGGGATGTCGCCTGCGAGGAGGGCTGGTTGGACTTGGGCCATGCCGCTTACGAGCTTGCCCGTGCGTTGATCCGGTTGCCTTCCAGCGTGCCCGGCCCACATCGGCTAGGCGCATCTTCCTGTCTTGCTTTCGGGTGCACGTGAGAGTGTCGGGTCGGACGAAAAGGGGGGATTGGGAAAGGGGGGATTACGAAATCTGCTGCATGCAGCTGGTTCCGGCCCCACCGAGGGGCCCATTCCTCGATACGTGGCCGCCTCCCGGCGCCGGGAGGCGCCAGGAAAATCAGCTACGTGAGCTGATTTTCCCCCCCCCCCCCCCCTTTGCTATCCCTCCCTTTCGCCCGGCCCGAGAGCGACCCTTCACAGGAGTGACCTCCGGTGCCCCGCTCTCGGGCGGCGCGTTGTGGGGGCGGCCAGAGGCCCGGGCACGCGGGCCGCTCCTGCCGCGGCGCGCCGGCGGCGAGCGGCAGGTCGCGTGCCGGAGGTCGTCCTTGCCCAGGGGCCGCTCCTGCGTGTGGCCGAGGCGTGCACCTTCTTGTTCATGTCTAGGTCTCCGAGAGTTCTTTGATTTTTGGGGGGCCAAGGTCCTCTCATTTCTAGTTGTGCTGTCCTGGGCCTCTTCCTGGCCACTGGGGGGCCAGGAACAGTTAGAAACGAGCACAATCAGAAACGAGCACGATTAGAAATGAACGTCGGTGCCGGTCTCTTGCGCGTTTCCAGGGTCGTGAGGATTCGATCGATCCGATGTCCTATTGATTCCGACTGGCTCGATCTGGGTCGACGTCGAGATACCACGACGGTCCGACGCGGCCTGATGCCACGGCCTCGCAAACCCTGTCTTAGCTAGTTACGGTCGGGAATTCCTGGTTCGCGTGTCGCTCTGCCGGTTCTGGCCCACCGCCCTTTGGAGCGGCACGCTATCCACTCCCCGGTCCCCAGCGTCAGCGTCCCGAGTCTTTCCCGACCTCCCGCCCCGCGGAGCGACACGCCATCCGCCTGCGGGGCATAGCGTGTCGCCAGGGCCGCCGCCGCGGCACGCTGCGCAAGAATCCCCGACCGCAGGCCCGGTGCCCGGTTGTCTGCAGCGGTGGTCCTTCGTTCCCTCGTTCATTCTTCCTGCCGTCCTCCCCGCGCGCGCTGGCCATGGTTCGACTAGACGTAAGAGTGACCTTTCGCCGGAGTGACCTCTGGTGCGGGCCAAATGGGGACCCCGATCGCCGAACGCGAGGCGGCAGTGGCGTCTCGCTCTCTTGTGTTTGGCCTCCCGGCGGCCCCCCCAAAACCGCGCACCAAAGGTCACTCTTACCCACGGTCACTCTTGCGCGCGCTGGTCATGGTGGCGGCGAGGTGCTCAAGCCGGCCCTGGTCCTCCGGTTCTCGGCCATGTTCGCGCTGGGGCTGTCGCAGGCCTACGTCGGCTGGTGGATGGCGCTGCGGGCTCTCGAAGCTCAGGAGACTGCATACACCGGAGGTTGATATACCTCCTACCCTGACACGTGGATTAAGGAATTGGCCGTTTTCGGTTTGCGAGTGGCGCGGCCGTCATTTTTGCGGGTCCAGGTCCGTCGGTTTCGGTCATGGGCCGTTTTCACTAAGGGGAGGTTTACTAAAGGGAGGTTTGTCCACCGCCGAATACACAACCAAAATCGGAGCTCCGCACGGATTTCTTGGATCAGCGCGGGGACCCCCTGCTGGCGCCTCCCGCGCCGCGCCTGGCGCGCTCCGCGCGTCAATGAGGCAGGTCTGTCGCCGATCCGAGAAGTCCGCGCGGCCCTGCGAGAAATCCTGCTCATGCTCTTATTGCTGTCCCTGGGGGCTCCGATCTCCGACGACGTTTCTTCAACCTCGGCGCCTGTCCTCGACGTCTGTTCTCTGGGGCCCCTGGTCGGGCCCTGGTGCCAGCAGCGCACGGAGAAGGGATCGTGCACCTCCCGCGCCAGAGACCAAACCCTGCAGACCATGGCCAAGATGCCGATGATCTTTGCCCCCTCCCGACCGCGGGTGGGGAGCGCCCTTGAAAGATGAGCAGCTGCGTGGGCCGTGTCCCGAGCTCCTCGACGGCGCTGAGAGGGGGCCTCCGCCCTCGGGGGCAGATGGGTGGGTCGAAGGCGCGCCAGGATGGCTTACACTCGGGCCGAGGTATAAGATTAAGGTCGCTTCTGAGAGGGTGCTCCCAATATTCTTCGTGCTCGTTGGATCTTCTTGTGCATCCTGGGGGAGTGCACCCTCGGATGTTCTGTTTGCTTCTGCCGACGGAGGGTCTCATGTTCTTGAGGGACGTTCCTCTGGCCCAGGTCTGGCTGTACTCCAGTCCATGCCTACAGCAGGGATGCAGTGCTTCATCGAGGCTTCCTTTGGAACCTTGCCCCTTGAGACTTCGGCCCATCCCTGACAGCATATCCCAGGGCTGTTGGCCTGGTTTCGCTACAGTCGTTTTCACGCGAACGTCCAGGGGTCATTCCATCCTACCTTGCGGTCGCGCTATGGGCCTTGGCCGTGCCAGGAAGCCGGAAACAATTGGAAACACGACCCGGGCGAGAGCCAGAGTTGTATTTCCAGCGCTCGGCTCTTCTACGGCTGTGCACGCCGGGCTTCGCATCTATACCCAGCGCGTGGTTTCTGGATGTCCCGATGGAGCCAGGCTCAGCTTGTTTAAGCGCATACTTGATTCTTCAGGAGGTGAAGTTGTTTGGTTCCAGTGAGGATGCAAGTCTTGCTTGCGGTGCGTCCGTCCAAGGAGGACGCAGCGTGCGTAAACACACTCTCGGAGGACCGCGCGGATCTCTTGGATTCGCGCTGGCCCCCTTCCCCGGCGCCTCCAGCGCCGCCCCTGGGGCGCTCCGCGCGCCAGCGAGGGGGGCCCAGAGCCGACCCAGGACATCCGCGTGGACCTTCGAACGTTTATGTCTATGCAGTTCTCGCTTCCCCTGGCCGAGCCGTGTGCGTCTTTTTCCGGCCCTCCTGATGTTCTCTCCACGGGGAGGCCGGCGGCAGCCGCAAGAGGGCCTGCGCTGCCTGGGGCCCGGCGCTCCACGGGCCCTCCAGGTGGTCCCCCGCGCCGGGGGTCCGCGCGGCACGCCTCCTCGAGGAGCCCTGGAAGTCGGAGTTGGCCTCCCCCCTCCCGTAACCGCATGCCCCTGGATGATAAAGTATACCCCCCTTAACCTCTGAGAGTTTATCATCCAGGGCCAAGACAGGGTTGGTCGGGGGATAGGGGCGGCGAAGCCGAACTTCGTAACCACCGGGAAAGCACGAATCGAATTGTGATCCTCTTATGGTGAGTGGCAACACTATCATGAATGTGTGGTAGGGAACATCAGATTCTCTAGTACATGCGAGTTGCCGGGACGGGAAGTTTATTATCACCCCCGAATCACGAACTTGATTGTCCCCCGGCACTCGGTTATCCTCCTTCCCAGGAGGGGAGGAAGATTGCTCCCTTGCGGCAGAACCCCCCCGACAGTTTTACACAGTTCACAGTGGGGGGCCACGTCGGGGGGGTACCCCCCACGATGGGGGCCCACGATCGGGGGGGCCACGATAGGCCACCGATTTCGCGGGCCCGCACTCCCTCGCTCGGCGCTGGTAGCGCTCGAACCGTCCCATAGAGACCTCACAGACAAGCCGTCCAGTGGACTACGGAGCAGGCAGAGGAGGACGAGGGGCGAGGGAGAGGAAGAGGGAGGTGGACGGGGCTTGCTCCGCGTTGTCGCGGCGCAGACAAACATCGGCTCGGCCATCCAGCTGCGCCCCCGCGCAGACGCGCCGCCGCTGCCCGGTGAGCGCAGACGTGCCAGAGCTCGGGGGCCTCTCGGGGCCCTTCTCGAGGGCCTGACGGTCGGCTCGCGGCCCCTTGGGCGGCTCGCGGCCGCGGGGGCCGGTAGGCCCTCCCCTTCCCGTGGGCTGGCCCTGTGGGCCAGCCCCGGGGCTCTGCGGGACCAGTCCTGCGGTTCCGCGGGCTGGTCCTGCGGGCGGGGGCTTCGCTTCCCGACTGGGTGGCCCCGTAACTCGTCGTCGTCGTCGTCGTCGTCGTCGTCGTCGTCGTCGTCGTCGGGTTGGTGGTCGTGTTCGTGGTCGTGTTCGTGAGCGTAGTCGTCAGAGTCGTCTTCGTCGGTGTCATGTTCTTGATTGTGTTCGTGGTCGTATTCGCGGTCGTGTTCGTGGTCGTCGGGGTCGTGGTAGAAGTGGTCGTCTCTGCCGCCGCCGTCGCCGTGGTTGTCTTCATCCCTCGCCGCTGTCGTCGTCGTCGTCGTCGTCGTCGTCGTCGTCGTCGTCGTCGTGTTCGTTGCCACTGCTGCCGCTGGTGCTGCCGCTGGTGCTGCCGCTGGCGCGGGTGTTGCTGGTGCTAATTGCTGCTGCTGCTGCCGATCATTTTCTTTGGGGCTGAAGGTCAAGAGCGGCATGGACAATCCTGAGATGCACACGCCGTTGCAGGGGCCCAACCAGCGACCGCGTGTGTCACCTTACCGGCTGGCATCCCATTGGCGGGGGGCTTGGGAGGAGGAGTGGGTTTCCAGAGTTTGTCTGGAGGCCTTGCAAGGTTCCTGGAGGTGGGTTTCCAGAGTGTTCTGGAGGAGGAGGAGAAGGAGGAGGAGAAGGTGGAGGAGGCGACGGACAGGGAGGGGAAGGTGGCGACGGAGCTACAATGCGGTTTCATGGGTTTCAGCGAGTGTATTCAATTACTCTTTCTTCCTCTTCGTGCTCCTCCTCCTGGTCCTCCCCCTTCTCCTCATCGTCCTTTTCCTCCCCTCACTCCTCCTCCTCCTCCTCCTGCTCTTCCTCCCCCTCCTCCTCCTCCTCCTCCTCCTCCCCTCATTCCTGTTTCCCCCTCTCACCAGATCCCCCAAGAGAGCATACTCAAGAGTGAGAGGATGAGGGGAAGGTGGAGGAGGGGATATACCCGCGGACGACTTGTGTACACCGTACTCCCAAGGCGTCGGCGACCCTCGACTCAGGAATGGTTAGGTGTATGTTTTTTTTGGCATGGGGAGCCGAAAAGCTGTGCACCGCACCGCGCTGGAGAGGGGCCGTAAGGGAATTGTATTGTGCATGAGCGCCGTTCTCATAATAGAGGAGCGGGAGGAGGAGGAGGAGGAGGAGGAGGAGGAGGAGGAGGACCAGTGTAAACCCAATATTAAACAACGATGGTGAAGTAAACCTTTCCTCCAAGCTTCCTCTTCATAGGCCCCTAGAAGGAATCATTTCCACTGAGGGAAGTGCCCCATTTGGAGACAACCGTTTGAACATCTTGAACCGTACCAGAGCACCAACCTTCTTGTTGCGTCTCGACGATCCTGAATCGTGTCAGAACGCGTTTCCTGGAAGTTCAACACCACAAGTTACCATAATTGTTGCGCCCTGGCATTCCAACATCGTTCCAACACACAATTTCTGGTACGCCAACCATGAGTATCCATGACCATCTTGCATGTTTTTGAAACGGATGTTCACGGCGCTAATGCGATAGCCACAGTTTGAAAACGACCTGTCCTCGATCCGTCAAGATCTTGCAAGTTTGAAAACAATGTGCGCGGCGCTAAGGCGAGAGCCACACTCTGAAAAGGATCCGCCCTCAATCCGCAAATAATATTGCATTTTGCGCGGCGCTGAGGCGAGAATCACATTTTGAAAACGACATGTCTTCAATCCGTGAAGCTCTTGTTTGGAAACGAATGTGCGCAGCGCGAAGGCGAGAGCCACATTTTGGAATCGACTCGCCTCCATTTGTGAAACCGTTGCGAATGTTGACGCTTCATGGTCAACAATGGTAGGGGCGTCTCAGGTGACATGCCCGACTCGCCCTTCCGAACGACCACGGGGTGAGACAGGGAGGACTCATTCAGAATATTTAGAAAAGGACTGGAGGAGGAGGAGGAGGAGGAGGAGGAGGAGGAGGAGGAGGAGGAGGAGGGAGGAGGAGGAGGAGGAGGAGGAGGAGGAGGAGGAGGGAGGAGGAGGAGGAGCTGTACTGCGCTGAGAGGTCGCTGAGGTGGGAGGGAGAGAGGGAGGCCGGAGGGATGGGCGGGGCAGGCCACCGCACCCACCGTCTCAGGTAGAATGGAGGCGTGACCTGGCGCGTACGCTGTGGTGTGTATGTCCGCTTGAAGGTCAAATACGGTGGGGGCATTCGTTAAGGAACGTGCCCAAGAGGCTTCAGACCCTGGGGGGGGGGTCCTTATCCAATGGGGGCGGCGGTAATATCCATGGCCAATCCACGATTGGAGTTTCACTGGCTTCCAGACCCTGGATTCCTTATCCAATGCTTCCTTATTCAATGCCCCCACCGTAATGAAGCAAGAAGTGCCACAATGAACCTGACACATCTTGGAAAATGATGGGCCTGGGGATTTCGAGGCAGGGCAAGGATCCCTCGGATTCTAAGGTGAAGGCGGTCACCCCTGCCCCCCTCAGAAGGCCATGGTTTTCCTTGCTCTGTTATTCAGGGCAGGCGTCTTGTGTTTTCGGGGCGACTGCTGAGGAGCGCAAGAGCACACGAGGAGGAGAAGAACGGAGAAGAGGAAGACAAAGGAGGAGGAAGGATGAGGATGATGAGGAGGAGGTGTAGGAGGAGGGAGGATGGAGGATCAGCGCTCGCACGCCGACGGTCGCGCTCCCCGAGCGCGCCCACTGAGGCCCCTCGCAGTTTCGAGGACCGTGGATGGATCGAGGATCGGGCGCCGAGGATCGAGTATCGAGTATCAGCTAGCCACGGGGTCAAGGATCGAGGTTCGAGGGTTGACGTTCTGGGATGCTTTCTCGTTGGTTTTTGGGGCCTCCATGAGCCTTCTGGGTTCCCGCGGGAGTTCTGGTCAAAGCGCACCCCTGGCCAGGTCCTGGGGTCGGTTTTTGAAGAGAGAGGAGACTGACTTTGCACGGAACCACGGCGGATCGGCTAGAAGACTTGCAGATCGCCGCGCACCCTTGGAAGCGGTGCCTTGCCTCGGTGGGGGTGGAGGAGGAGGATGGGGACATGGAAGATGAGGAGGATGAGTTGGAGGATGAGTTGGAGGACGAGTTGGAGGAGGAGGAGGAGGAGGAGGAGGAGGAAGATGAACACCAGAGTAAAGCCAAGGTGCATCAGCAGTGCTGCAGTACACCTTCCCGTCCCACGCCCCCTCCACAGAAGTCCATACAAACATTCCTTTCCGCTGCGGGCAGCGCCCCCCCTTGACTGACGAGCGCCCAGAGAGCCTGCCACGCAAACGAGCCCCCCTTCTGTACACGATGCAGATCGAACAAGTGTCCCGCGGCGGCCCCCCCGCCCGCTTTGAGGAGGGAGCTGCCTTCCATCCGTGCACGGGCTGCGCGACTTCGGAGATCTGGTCATGCCATCTGCAGGAGCCTCAAGCGAGAGCACAATGTTGACAAGGAGCCGCCCTCCATCTGCTAGCTGCTGCACAGCTTGAAGCTTCGGGCCATTGATTTCAGGAAGCCCCAAGCTATAGCCACATTCTGGACATGTACCAGCCTCCGACCTTGCAACCGCCGGAAGCATTCAAAACGAATGTTCGCGGCGCTCGGGCGAGATCCGCATTTGGAAAACCACTGGCCTTTCATCATTGTAACTGTTGGGCGCTTGAAAAGATAAACGTGTGCGGCGCGAAGGCTCGAGTAGGGGATCTACTGCAGTTTTCGTCGAATCTACAGCATCAGTCGAATGATCTTCAGGCCTACGGTGTTTCTATGCGTCTTCAGAAGGCTCGGCGGATAGCCAAGTTTGGGGTGAATCAATTATGCGGTCGATCCCTACTCGGAGGGCGGCAGCCGCCCATAACCACCGCCTGGGGGGTCGATCTTCGCGGACCTCCACGGGCGGTGGATATGGATATATTCTGGCCCCCGGGGGCCAACATTTATCCGTATCCACCGGCCGCCAGGGCACCAGGACGTCGGTTCCCAGGCGGTGGATATGGATAAATTCCCGTCTCGCACGATTGGCCATTCATCAATCCAACTGTTCGAGTCTTGAGCCTCACGCTAGGAAGATGCAGCGGTCAACCCGAGCGAAACGCCCGGCCGTGCCTACAGACACGTCTGGCGTCGCGACGGGGGGGAGCTGCCTGTCGGGAAGGGGCACGGCGGAGGAGGAGGAGTACACAATGTTCATGTCGAATTCATCGAGAGTTCTTGTTTTTTTGGGGGTGCACCCTGGGGAGGGTAATTACCCTTGGATGTTCTGTTCGTTTTGGCCGACGGAGATTCTCGTGTTCTTGAGGGATGTTCGTCTGGCCTGCGTCCGACTGTAGGAGGGGGATGACTGCGATGATGACGAAGACGAGTACGACGATGATAACGGCGACGGCGACGACGACGATGACGGCGACGGCGGCGAGCGGCCGGCGTCGGACGAAGACGACGACGGCGAATACGGCGAAGGGCGGGTGGCGGCGCTGGTCGGGGCGTTGGCAGGGCCGCCGCCCTGACACTCTACGTGGGCTGTGCGTGGACCGCCCTGACCCTGCTGAGGACCGCACTCTGCCGCCTCCTCCCAGCAAATCTATCCGCCTCCTCCGAGTCTTCGAGTTGACGGACTCAAGCAAACGGGGTCGTCTGCGCCGACATGGGCGCGTAAGCTGCCCGCGTAAGGTCGCGCACAAGCGCCCTCGTCTCCAATGTGGGATATCGCGCCCGCGGCCCGCGTAAGCCACCGCGTCAGGTCGCTGTGTCGTTTCGCTCAAGATCCCTGTCTTTTCGTCGCCCAGTTGGGGCCAGAGGAGATGGGTTCGGAGGATCGCGCTGCACTGGTGATGAATCGACGATGCATCGGCGATGCGGCGCGATCCGGAGCGCGGGCTTCTTCATCTTGACGCCGCCGGCTCAACGCCAATGCGCAATGCGTTCCGATCTCCCGACCCCATCCATCTCACCCTCAAGGATGATTGGGCTGCTGCTGCTGATGATTGATGGTGAACCGTATAGGAGGATGGGAAGGATCAGGAGGAATGATGGTGGCGATGCTGATGATGGAGTTGATGACAATGGCGACGATGATGTCGATGATGATGCTGCTGCTGATGATGATGATGATGATGATGACGACGACGACGACGACGACGATGATGATGATGATGATGATGATGATGATGATGATGATGCTGATCACGATGGTGGTCTTGGTAGTGGTGATGAGTATGAGTAGCATAAGGTGGAGGGGGAATGCTATGATTTTATTTATATTTGTACACGGGGGAGAATGACGAGGTGGAGGAGTCGGAGGAGACAGAAGGCAGGAGGCAGGAGGAGAGACGATGATGATCAGGGAGGATACTCAAAAAGGGAGGTGGGAGGAGGAGGAGGAGGAGGAGGAGGAGGAGGAGGAGGAGGAGGAGGAGGAGGAGGGGAGGAGGAGGAGGAGGAGGAGGAGGAGGGGGCGGCGCGCGCGCGGCGACGGAGGCCGAGCCCAGCTGCGCTGCACAGGACCCAGGAGGCTCCGGGGTGCTCCCCTCGCACTCTTGGCCTCTGCCGACTACCCCCTTCTCCTCCTTTGCTCGGTTCCTCCTCGCTCCTCCTCCTCCTCCTCCTCCTCCTCCTCCTCCTCCTGGGCGTTGAGGCGATCAAGGTCAAGGCCCACACGGCCGCGAAGGCGGCCAGCAGCCCGCTGGACAGCTGGAGGCGTGCGGGCCAGGCCATCGCCGACGGCACGGCCAAGCGCGGCGCGAGGCTCTGGCAACTGCCCGAGAAAGCCAGGTTGTTCGCTGCTGCGTGCAGGCGGCGTGCCAGGCAGCTCAGCCGGTGGTTGGCCGACGCGCAGGCCCACATCCAACAGCACGAGTTGCGCGATTAGGAGGGCCTGACGGTGGCCCCTGAAGAGGCCGCCCAGCAACCTCCGCCAGGCGGAGCAGGTGGAGGCCAGGGTTCGGCCACGCTGCCAGGATAAGATGACGACAATGGTGTGATGGAGGTGCCGGCGGAGTGATGTTGCGATGAGGGCGCGGATGCCGAGGCGACCCCCTGGCTGCTCCGAGGCCGAGGCATCGTGGCGGCGGCGTGCCCGGGCCAATCAGACGTGCTCTTCTGCGTGGATTGCGGGGCCAACGCGCAGCATCGGAGACAGGGCTGGGGCAAGCTCTTGGAGGCGTGCTTAGGCAGCCTGGAGGCCAGACGCCAGCTGAAGCAGGGACTCCACCCGCGCCAGCTACAGAAGCACGCGCAGCTTGACCCGGCCCGCGGTCCTAGCTTGGTAATTAGCGCGGGCCGCCAGGCGCACGGTGCTGGACCCATCGCAGGTCGACGTGGAGGCTGCCAAGTACGGCCTGGAATGGCGGCCCCTGCCTTGGGAGACGGTCGCCAGGCCCCGCGGTATCCATACAGTCGGACCCAGGTATGAGATCAAGGTCGGTTCGGGGAGGTTGCCCTAATGGTTTTCGTGGTTGTTGGATGTTCTTGTGCATCCCGGGGGAGGGTACCCTCGAATGTCCTTCAGTTTGGCCGACGGAGGGCCTCATGTTCTTGAAGGATGTTCTTCTGTCCTGGGTCCGACTGTGTCCCTCAGGTGGCGACCGCGCGGGAGCAGCAGCAGCAGCAGCAGGAGGAGGAGGAGGAGGAGGATGAGGAGGATTGTAGTGTTACGATGCTCTTGAGGGTACGCTAGGTTCGTGTCGTGTCGACCGGCGGCGACCCCGCTAGCGGCGTTCAATGTTGAACGCCGCGGGCGACCCAGAATCGTTCGATGTGGCACTATTTGGACGTTTCGGAAACGGCCGATCGTTCGAGGTTGAGCGATCCCCGCGGTGTCAGAAGCCAACGCCGAAGTCGGCACGACACGAACCTGCCATAGGCATAACCCTGCAAAGTCGGATGGGCACAAGGGCTCACCCACCCTTGGAACGGTGCCCCAAGGTAAAGGACCGTTGCGGGCACGTTGCATGAGTGTCAACATAGCACTCGCCAGCCATCTCCTTTGTGATATACGTTGATCCTTTCTCAGCTTGTGCGCCAAAGAAGTTGGAGCGTATCTGCGCACGCCAGAGGTGGTTGTGTTTGAGAGGTTCTCTCAGGGGGCCGCAAGGGCGGGACGGCTCGATCCATCAGGGGGGACAAGTGGGCCTGCTCAACCGCGGGGAGGGCTGCCTTCCTGCTGGTGAAGGGGGGGACCTATTCCACAGCAGGGCAGGGGAACCTGCCCTGCCGCAGGCTGGGACGCCACCCGAGAGGTGCCAGTTGGGGCCTGCTGCACAGCAGGCGTATCATCGCCCTAGAGTTGACCCGAAAGGGCAACGCACAATCAGGACGGGCGACCACCCTGAGGGTGAACTGGGCGGCTCACAACCCTGCCGCCGATGTCGCCGCTTGCCTTGTGACAGGTGGGACCTGCTCCACAGAGCCGGCCTCCGCCCTCGGGAAAACCTGGGGGGCCCACGGGGGAAGACACAGTCCTTGGTCGGCCACCGACAGCGGCCCGCAAGTGTCTCTGCACCCGCCGGAGGCGGTTGCATGTGAGACGAGAATTTTTCTCCTCCTCCCGGTTCAGGGCACCCGAGGCGATTTGACTTCCTCATATGCTGCCTCGCGCTGGGGTAGGCTGAGTAAAGTCATGCATGAGACGAGTGGGGCACACATGCGACAGAACGCTGAGCGCGCGTGCGTACGCGAGCGACAGATGCTCAACGGGGTACGCGCGGCCCCTCAGATCGCAACTCGGCGGATATGACGGGGGCACTGATCTGACAATAGGTGTAACCCCCCCCTGAGCGTAGACTTGTTCGCCAATTGTAGATGACACAGACGCGATAAGACGGGGGAAGAGGTGCGAGTGTGGTGACAGGGAAAGCATGGTGGTTAGAAATCCCCACCCCCCCAACACACCGAGGCCGCGACACCGGTGTCGGCGGCCACCAGCTCTCTGTTACGACTTGTCTCCCCATCCCCGCGTGCCAACACCTCGTTCGCGAACATAGTTCGGACCTGCGTCAGCAATCTTGTCACCCGTCGTCGTTACCGGCCCCGAGTAAGCACCAAGAGGCCCCCCCAGGGATCCCAAGAAGACCTCAAGAGGGTCCCGAACAGGTATTCAGATTACCATGGCCATCTGAATATCTTATCGGCTTATCGGGGGCATCTTGGAGTCCGCTCGCCCCCAAAAAGCCCCGAGCGAGCACCGAGAGGTCCCCCTTAGGGGCCCCAACAGGCCTTCAAGAGAGCCCCGAAAAGATATTATGATGACCGCGGCCATCTGAAAATCTTTTCGGGGCCTCCCAGAGCCCGTTCGGGGTCCAGGACCTTCCAACCGAAGTGTGAAAAACCAGGGAGAAGTGAGTGTGCAGGACGGCCGGCCTTGTCGCCAGGTTGTGTCCTTGAGGCGACTGCCTCGCGACGAGGGCAAAATCGCAGAAGTTGCGGATGTACGATGGCCGGCATTGCCGCCAGGCAAAGTCCAACATGAGACGAGCCTTGGTGGCGTTTCGACGTGGGAGCGCGCAGGACCGCTGGCCTTGTCGCCGGGCGACGTCCTTGAGGTGTTTGCCTCGCGACGGGGGCAAACGCGCACTGCCGTCAGACAGCGTCCAGTATGAGACGGACCTGGGTAACGGTTCGACGCGAGAGTGCGCGGGGCCGCCGGCCTTGCCGCTGGGCAGCGTCTTTGAAGCAACCGCCTCGCGACGGGGGCAGGCGCGCAGAATCTGCTGATGCGCGCAAGCTCGCGCTGCCGCCCGGCGGCGCCCAACGGAGACCGCAGGGCCGCCGGCCGTGCCGCAGAGAGGGGGGGAGATGGGAACGCGCAGGGCCGCTGGCTCTGCCGCCGGGCAACGCCCTCGAGGCAACGGCCTCGCGACGGATGTGGGCGCGCGTGATCAGCGGGCGCACGATGGCTGGCATTGCCGCCAGCCCGCTTCCGAAAGGAGACGAACCTGAGGGGCGTTCGACGTGCGAAGTTTCAGGGCCGCTGGTCTTTCCGCC